CTTTTCTCTTACACATGGATCAACAGATTTGCTATTGCAAATTTTGCAATAGCACCGTACAGGAATTCTTGTTTTTATTAAAACTGTTTTAGAGGTAGAACCTGTTATCAGGACAGAACTTTTTTTAGAGATACTTCTGACAAAGGTTTTTTCGATTTGTGACCCATAATAGATCAAGAAAATTAATCAATTTTTTTTAATAAAATGATTAAATTAGAAATATGTTATATACTTATTAGTATACTGTCTTTTTATATTTTTAATCTCTTTTTTGACATGTTAGACAAACTTATAAATAAGATATAAGATTTGCACTTCTGACAATTGAATAGAATGAATTTGGTATGTACTTTTTATACATTTTTCTATTGGCTTGGGCATGGTAGTCACTAGTTACTGATACGTTTTATGACTTTCAATCTAAATATTATAGAATTCTTTTTTTTATATAGTTAGTTTCTATTCGGAGCTTTAATCAGCTTTCTTATTTAATTCAGATTATGATTCGATCACAAATATACGATTTCTCAAATTATTTTCATGATATCGCATGATAAACAAAAAGTATGATTTTGATAATATATTATGCGCATGAATACGTACGATTTCTCAAATTATTTTCCTGATATCGCGTGATAGACAAAAAACATGATTTTGATAGTATATTATGCGCATGAATATGTACGCATGAAATATTATTGACATCTCTTATTATGAATCACTAACATTTTCTAAATCAATTCTCTAGAAATCTGGTAAAACCATCAACGAATTGGAGGTGCTGTGTTATAATCTGAACAAAGACTAATCGATATGTATCATAACGTATTCTAATAAGTGACCAAAGAAAATTAATAAAATTCTTTGTTTTAAACATTCAAAATTTAGAGATCCGACAATTCAATAGTGAACTTTTATATATATTATATTGCAATTCATATATCCATAATTCCACAATATTATAGAAAGGTGTTGTTTAGCAAAAAACGCGTCATGGAGTCTAATAGTAGATGAAATAATTCAATCTTGATGCTAATGCATTACCTATTGTGATGCTCCTGAAAATGTATAAATAAATCATTATTTTTTATATGTGTATTAACATGTTTCTACTTTTCATCTATAAGAAAAATTCATTACTAAAGGTAAAAATTATGCAAAGCGAATTTTTTTTTTTTATACGAGTTTCATATTCAAAGGTTTAAATAGATTGATCGAAAGCTTTTCTACATTAAATCAATTCCAAAACACCACTTTACACTATGTCTTCTCGCCACAAAATACCATATCAAACTCATAGAAATGTTGTTTCTACACACAGTCATCACTCTCGCGATTCTCACAAAGACACTATAATTTTAAATCGTTATAAACATCGATCTCATCATTCCAATCGTTCTAATCGTTCTTTTTCCCCTCATCATTCTCGTGGTCATTCTCCCTCTCCTCATCACTTTCGTAGTCGTTCTCGTTTCCCTGGTCATTCTCTTGAATCCTCTTACCATTCTCTTCGTCGCTCTGATTCTTCTCAAAATTCTCTTTATCGCTCTGCTTCTCACTATTCTCCCCGTCATTCCATTTCTCCTCATTATTCCCTTCGTCGTTCTAGTTCTCATCATTCCCTTCATCATTTCGCTTCACCTCACTCTTCTCATAGTCATTCTAATTCTCATCATTCTTTTCGTCGTTCTGCTTCTCCCAGACCTTATTGTCAACATGAAGATACGACAGAAAAAAGTATGCATCTGTAAATTTAATAATATTGATTATAAGTCTATGTATATTTGAGCATAGAATTCGCTAAACTTCAGTCAGAAGTTTCATTACTTGCTGCTGAATTAAATAAGTTGAAAGCATCATCGCAACAATCTTTGGACAATGACTTTGGGCAACTTGGTGTTGATATGAACAGAAGAGGCAAGAGAGCTTTGCGGATGGCTGGTTCAGTTTCTCCTGAACCTTCTATTAGTTATTCAAGAAAACTCCGTATGATTCTCGAAGATATAGACAAAGAACAATATAAACTGTTCAGGGTATAATATTAATATTTGATTTTTTTCTTATTTGATTTTTTTTAAAATTCGGTTTTTTTTATTTTTATTTTTATTTTTTTTTACTTAGGATGAGATTGTACAAACATTAGCTAGTCTTGATAGTTCTTTGTCTCTTGACTATACTCGTACATGGAATGAAATTTCTCAGCATGTTTACAAAAATATTATGCCAGCGATTGATAAAGCAACTGTTGAAAAAATACGATATAATATGATTGAACTTAAATATGTTCTTTAGCAACTTCACCGACATCGACGTGAAAGTTGGAAAATTGCACAAAATCCAGAAAAAGTCAAGTTAGATAAAAGGCGTAAAGGAATAAACACTAGGCGCTCTGTTGTATAAGTTGTTTTTTTTTTTTATGCAATATATTACATTACTTGAATTGCTTGACAAGTTTATATTTTCTATTAAAGAAAAAATTACGACGAAAACACAATATTAAACATATGTTTAGCACTCAGGACAAACTACTCTATGAACTAAAACCTCATTCTTGGACAGTTGACGAATTTAAAAAGAATCTTGATCAAATTATTGAAGTAAGTGGGTATTATTCCGATGAGGTTTCTGAAACAGATATTGACCAGGCAGCTTATGAAGTTGAGAAAGAGAACTGTACAAAAGATGATGATGCTGTTGATGATTTTCACGTAATTCATATATACGACAAACCATGGCGATCCTCACAAGTATTAT